TGACTGGCTAATTTTTGCATTTTTTTTTTTTTTCTGTAGAGACAGGGTTTTGCCATGCTTCCCACCCAGGGTGGTCTTGAACTCCTGGGTTCATGTGATCCGCTTGCCTCGGCCTCCCAAGATGCTGGGATTACCATGAGCCACTGCACCTGGCCTGCAAAATTCTTTGACTCTATGAAACACAGAAGAAAGAATGCCCCAATTGGAAAACTTTTTCAAGAACATATAGATTGACCCAGGAATCCTCACTATCTGCTTGATTTTATTTATCCAGAGGTCCTTCTCTAACCAAGATCTTTCTCCTACCATTGAACATCAAATATAGAGACACCAGGACACAAACAAAAGTGCCTCAGATTATACCATTTAGTGTTTGTCAGCATCTTTGTTTTCTGATCTAATTTATAGGGTTGGATTGAAAAGGGAGTGAAGGAGAAAGAACCTGAAGCAGAAATATGGCTGAGTGGGACCTTTACAGAATGATAGACCCACCCTTCTTGGAAAAAGATCCCCATGATTTACTTTTTTAGTAAATGAATTAATTTTTTAGAGACAGGGTCTCACTGTGTTGCCAAGGCTAGACTCAAATTCCTGGGATCAAGCGATCTTCCTGCCTCAGCCTGGTGAGTTGCTGGGACCACAGACCATCGTGCCTGGCCCCATGACCTTCTTGAGTCTTTTAAATGTGCTCACTTGTCCTGTCAGTCAGCACTGAAATACTATACCTTGTTAGGATGAGTTGTTCTGAAGCCAGAGTGTTGTTTTTAGTTTTTAGGCACTGGTAAAGAAGAAATACTTAGTAGCTTTGGATTTTAGTAAGACTTAAGAGTCGTTGGAGAATTTGTTGCCTTTGATGTTGTGGAGGGTATGAGGATATCTCTACTGAGCGTAGTATACTGTGTTTATTCTTTTTGAGAGGGTGCTGGGAAAGGGCTTTATAGTGGCAACTTATTTAATTAATTCCTTTTTTTAGAAGGGACTCGGATTCCTAGCTTAGAGCAGGACACATTGGCTATGGAATCATAAAGACAGAATGACATATGGACTTAATACTCTCAGAAGAGACGTCTGTCCACATGGTTAGGGAAACTAAGTACAGTTTTTCTAAAAATTGTGTTTCTGAGATATGAAGTAGCTTGTTTTAGTTATTTTTTCTGTTGTTTTTTAAATCAAGCTATTGGAAAACAACAAAGGGCATGAATAAGATTTTTAGAGATCGCTTCTTTCATCTGTAAATAGAATCTTCCTCACTCCAGAGAAAACTGGTGTGTGATACCTCCTAGTCAGTCATCAGGACCCACGCTTCAGTTTGATTTTTAAGTCTTTGAAAGCTGTTGACCCTTTTGCTTTTGAGTTTCATTCACTAGCTAAAAGGCCACGCCATCAGGGTGACGGAAGTGAAATTCAAAATTTAGTGTGCTTGGAAAAACGCGTATTTATAATCAGCTTGAAGGCTCAGAGGATTTGTGAAATCGTTTTGGATTAACAGCCATTGATTGCTAATAAAACAATATTTAGCTTTGTCCAGAGAACAGCAATGGAGAAAGGTATGGGCATCTTGTCAACAGGCCCCATTGAGCAGGGATGATGGGCTAAGTGTGGGGGTCTCTGCAGCAGCGTGGGTGCTCGTCCTTCAAGGAGCGGTTGTCCGTTGTTAGCGAGGCGGGTGAAAGGAAGGACGCCAGAGTCTGATGGCTGGGGTAGTATTGATGTGCCTTAGCTGACTAATCAGATTGAAAAAGTCCCATGGTATTTATGTCACTTTAATTTTCATCAAACAATTGGAGACGACAGCACTCTATTAAGGAAAGGTTGATCCAGAACTAAAGCCAAATAAATTAGGGTCTCAGTTTAATCAAATTATCCTTTTACTGGCTCTGGATTAAGTGAGAGAGACAGCGTCGGTCCGGAGACTTGTGATTGGCTGAATCTTTCCCTTATTTTTAAAGAAGCGGATGAAAGAAAAAGTATTTTAACAGATGACTATAATAATCCCTCCAATCAATCTTGCTAAAACAACAACAACAACAAAAAACTGAATTTATTTCACTAGTCAACTGTGTCATTTTGTTGTGAATAACTAACCTGTCATTAAAATCAGAGTTCTGGTGAACTGGCATGAGGGGAAGAAACAGATGTGGAAGAAAAATTTAGTGTTTTAGCATTTTTCTATGTAGTTTTGGGCTGTTTATCTTGGCACACTTTCAGCACATCTAAAGTCTCAATTTGGAGATGGCTCTGAGGGTAATCACCTCTCTTAGGATGTGCTGAGTATTAAAATTGGTTTGCTTTACACTGATTTTAAAAGCAACAGCATGAATTTGAGTCTGTATATAGACAGCTTGGCAAGTCCGTTGTTTAGGATTGAATGTCAAAGTATACAACAAAAAGTATACAAAAGGAGATGGTGATGACTCGTGAGTAAAGAGGTAAGTTTATATTACCCATAAACTAAGGTAGACAAAGTAAGGCAGAAAAATAACACTGTCCTCCAGGTGGTGGGTATAGTTAAAAATGTACTTGTGAGTGATGGGAAAGGAGGATGAGGAAGGCTTTTATAGTAATGGTAATGTTCTATTTCTTGATCTGGGAACTGGTGGCAGAGCATGTTCAGTTTATGAAAATTTATTGAGCTCTATACTTATGTTTACTTTTATGATACACTTCCATGCAAAGTTAAAAAATCTGCATGGGCCTATTGTTTTAAAATTGAAGTCTGTATTAGTTTCCTATTGCTGCTTTAGTAAATTCCTCAAATTTAGCAGCCTAAGACAATACAAATTTATCATCTTGGAAGTCTGACATGGGTTTCCCTGAGATAAAATCAAGGTGTTGACAGCACTGCATTCCTTTCTGGGAGGCTGTAGGAGAGAAACCATTTCCATACCTTTTTCAGCTTCTAGAGGCTACCCCTCATTCCTTGGCCTGTGGTCCCCTACCCATCCTCAAGGCCAGCAACGTGGTAGCCAAGCCCTTCTTACGTTGCATCACTCCAACGTCCTCTTCTGCCTCGCTCTTTTACTTTTAAGGGCCCTTGTGATTACGTTGGGCCCACGTGGATATTTCAGACTAATCTCTCTGTTTCAAGGTCAGCTGATTAGCACCCTAATTCTAAACACTGAATTTCTAAAACACTGAATTTCTCTTCCACATCTATTTCTACCCCTCATGCCAGTTCACTAGAACTCTGTTTTTAATAATGGGTTCATTACAACAAAATTACACAGTTGACTAGTGAAATAAATTCAGTTTTTTTGTTGTTGTTGTTGTTTTAGCATGATTCATCTTGCTTCTGCCTAAATACCATTTGCGATGGAATTCCCCCTTGTCATGTAACCTTACATATTCACAAAGATTAGGACGTGGGCATCTCTGAGGGACCATTATTCTGCCTACCATAATTACGGATTAGTCATTTTCATCAGCAAGAGAGTAGGTGATAAAAAGGAACATGGGTACAGTGAAGAGAGCACTGCTTAGAGTCTAGAATCTGCAGTCTGCTCTCAGCTCTCCCACTTCCCAGCTAGCAGTTCACCCGCCCACTGGACCTTGGTTCCCCTCTACATCATGAGGGGACTTGATGTGATATTTCCTAAGGTACCTTTTAACATTCTATGAAAGATACACATCGCCCTACCAAATACAACATTTAGAATCAGTAACTACTGTGGAGCAAATTTTTAATTAAAAAAGAAATCAGGCCAGGCATGGTGGCTCACGCCTATAACCCCAGCACCTTGGAAGGCCAAGGCAGGCGGATCATCTGAGGTCAGGAGTTCAAGACCAGCCTGTCTAACGCAATGAAACCCTGTTTCTACTAAAATACAAAAATTAGCCAGACACAGTGGCGTGTGTCTATAATCCTAGCTACTTGGGAAGCTGAGGCAGGAGAATTGCTTGAACTCAGGAGGCAGAGGTTGTGGTGAGTGGAGCTCACGCCACTGCCCTCCAGCCTGGGTGACAGAGCAAGACTCCGTCTCAATCAATCAATCACTGGGGCAGTAGTCCAGTCTTCAGATTTGGAATTCCTACTACTCTAAGACCTCATTCTGTAATTGTGACTACCTATGAAGTTCAGCTTCAACAGACTTTAGACTTCTCTTCAGCTGTCTTGGGTTTGAAGATGCCAGAATTTATAGTGGTCTCAAGAGACTGTGACTCCATGGAATTCCCTTTTCTGGGTAAAGGTGCATGTTTTTCAGCTAGGCCCTGGAAGTGAGTCTATATTTTGTTATTTGTGTCATTCTCTTCCCTCCCCCTTTTATTGCCACTTAGTTCTGTTTTTTTCTGACTGGATTTACCTTTTCTCTGCTTTCATTGGATTTTTGTTCATTCATTTTTAGAGCATCTACCATATGCTGGACATGTGCTGATGCTGAGAGATGAATTAAGAAAAAAGACCCAGCCACTGCCCTCACTGGACTGAATCTAGCTAGATTGGGTGTCTCCAAACATTTTTGATCAGAGACCCATTAATAAAAAAATTTGAGGATGCATACCTTACTAATATGTGAGGTACATTGTAAAGCATACATGAAAATTGGGAATTAAATAGACTTTGTTCTCTTAGTGCCTGGGGAGTGTCCTCACCCATAGTCGGAGACCCTACCACATTAGATTGACACGGAAAACAGACAGGAGTGTAAAGTTGTAAAGTTATTAAGACCAAAAAAAAAATGTCTGGCTTAAAAGTAGTTTCTCAGCCTGATCTTTTTGTTTCCTTTGTTCTTTGCAGATTTGTTTGGTGTCTATGTTTCAGTGTCATTGTCCTTGTTTCCTTATTGCAGTCCAGCCTTGCTGCTAAAGCTGGTATGTCTATCCGGAGGACCAGACCTGGAGCCTTTCCCAGGGTCTAAGCCTGACTTTCATGTATTGCTTGGACACATTTTATTTAGATCTCTATCCCTCCAGGCCTCCCAGCCTGCTACCCAAGCCAAGTAGTAATCTTGAAGATGAACTTGCTGCTTTTTGGAAATAACTCATGTTCTTTTCCCCTTTAGGAGGGATTTGTTCGTGTTGACCGAGATTATGTGCTGAAGTCTGCAGAGCTGGCAAAAGCTGGAGGGTGCAAACATTTCAACTTGGTATCCTCTAAAGGAGCTGATAAATCAAGCAATTTTTTATATCTACAAGTTAAGGTTTGTGCAAGTTTCTGTCTTTCATACACTTTGGAGAAGCCTACCTATTTGGCAGTACTAAAGAATATAAAATATTATATAATACAAAAAACATCAATACATCATATTATGCATTTGTATGGCTATGGGACTGCAGGAATATATTTAGTAAACAGGAATGATTTGAAAAATAATTTCCAATGTCTTCCTCTCTATTAATTATCCAGCAATAAATGGAATGAGATATGGTGTCTCCAGCCTTGACTGTCAGCATGGCAACTTAGCATTGGAAGAGACTTGGAGGCAGTGATTCTTAAACTTTTCTGTCAGTTTCTCCAATGATTGAGAGGAAAGAAGAGCTTTTATTTGTCTAGAGATTTGGAGACATCTATCCTGAAGCAGTATTCTAGTTACAAGACTGGAGTGCAGTGGCATGATCTTGGCTCACTACAGCCTCTTTCCCCCCAAGTAGCTGGGACTACAGGTATGAGCCACCATGCTTGGCTAATTTTTGTATTTTTGGTAGAGATGGGGTTTCGCCATGTTGCCCAGGCTGGTCTCAAACTCCTGAGTTCAAGCGATCCGCCCATCTCAGCCTCTCAAAGTGCTGGGATTACAGGCGGGAGCCACTGTGTCTGGCCTCAACTTTCTTAAAAGTCTTACGTTTTATCTTTTAAAAATTTATGCACATTTTGCTATTCTTAGTGCTATACATATCCCTGTTTATTTTAATTTAAAAGGTTTCTATTAACCTACCTTTGAGTTAAACTGATGCTGCTGGAAGATAGGTATGGCTTTGTCTTTGTGTGCCTCCAGTGCACCCCAGGTGCCCACAGTTTAAGCGGCAGAGCCACAGAGGTCATTCAGTCATAGACTTTTCCTATGTGAAGTCCCTTTACAGAAGAAGTTCATCTCGCTTCTGCTTAAATATCTCCAGCACTACAGAGATTACTATCTTATTAGCCAACTTTTTCTATTTTGGGTCAGATCTACTTATCCAAAAGTCTTTACCTTGAAGTGAAATTTATTGCTATGTAAATGCTAATTGTTATCAGTTCTGCCTTTTAAAATAACCAAAACAAGTCCAGTCTTTCTTTTGCATTGTAGTTTTTAAGACGTTTGGAGATTATGGCCTCCTTAATCGTATGTTTCCCAGGCATCACACCTTTAAGTCCTTGCACCATTCTTTATAGGTTCCTGTGTCTAGCTCCTTCATGACTGCATCACTTTGCAGAGGGTGAACTTTGCAGTGATATTATACTGGAACTGCAGTGGGAGTACTATTCACGCTCTGGACACTATGTGCTTTTAAAAATAAGATATAAGATTGTTACTATTTTACCAAACATCCTTATTATGTTGTTGGCCCATGAGCAGCCTGTAATAATAAAAATTTCCAGATTTTTTTCACATGGCTAATAGCTGAGCCATATCTCACCCATCCTAAAATAGTATTTTGAACCAGATGAAGATCAGTGAGCCACCAATGAAATTACATGAAGAATGGAAAAGTTTCCACTTAATTGTCAGAGTTTAGAACAATTCTTAAAAGGAAAAAAGTCTGGTTTTCTTTTTTTTAGAATCAGTCTTGCTCTGTCACCCAGGTTGAAGTTCAGTGGCATGGTCACAGATCACTACAACCTCAAATTCCTGGGCTCAAGCGATCTCCAGTCTAAACCTCCCGAGTAGCTGGGACTACAGGCATGAGGCACCAGGTCCAACTTGTTTTTCAAAATACTGACACATGTGGGTTCTGAGAAAGGTTACCAAATAGAATTTTTGCTCTCATTAGCAAGATCAATATTTGTACCTTTTAGGAAAGAAAATATACGTAAGATATTTCCTCGTTGTTAAAGATAAAGGCATTACTACTGACTCCTTGGGTTATTATTCAACCAGATTTTTTTAAAAATAGCTAACATTAAATGATCCAGGCATTCTGAGGGCTTTTATGTGCATTTGTGTGGAAACAGGTACTGTGATATTAAGACCACCAGCTGTTGACTGGGCACGGTGGCTCACGCCTGTAATTCCAACACTTTGGGAGGCCGAAACGGGAAGATCACTTGAGGCTGAGAGTTTGAAACCAGTCTGGGAAACATGGCAAAACCCTGTCTGTACTAAAAATACAAAAATTAACTGGCACAGTGGCGTACGCCTTTAATCCCAGCTACTCGGGAGGCTGAGGCAGGAGAATTGCGTGAACCCAGGAGGCAGAAGCTGCAGTGAACCAAGATCACATCACTGCACTCCAGCATGGGGACAGAGTGAGACTCTGCCTCAAAAACAAAACAAAACAAAAAATAACAACAAAAAGAACACCAGCTGTTAAGCGGCAAAGCTAGAGTTTGAACCGAGGCTGTATGATTCCAAGGCCTATGCCGCTAGCCATTATGTATGAATAGCCTTTGTCACTAATACATGCAAAAGGGACCCAGCAGAGATTGGACCATGACAGAGCCTCAGCAAATATTAAGGCCAATACAACAGAAAGACACTTCTGATTTCACTGCAATTGGCCTGCATTACCTGCAGTCTGGGATTATGAATTAGATTAATAAAGGACAGAAATGACAACCAAATGATCCGGCCCAGAATGATGCTGAACAATATGTAATTGCTTTTACAATTTGGAAAGATTATCTTTCCGAAATAATCCTTCAACTACTGTGTGTAACATTCCTAGTATTTATTGCTTATTTTCTCAGTCTCCTTGTGTGTATGAACTCCCCCCTCCCACCCAATTTTAGAAACTCCTTTATTCTTTAGGAACATTTATTCTACTCAATGACGTTTCCATTGCATTCATTCATGGTGGGCCAGCTCTGGGGGCCTGGATCAATCATGTGCTTTATGGGCACTGTGCTGGTGCTGTGGGGAGACGTGTCAGGATGTGGAGCCCAGAGTACTGGATGGGTTTCATGTCCTCTGTTCTCAGGGTTGATAAGCTTTGGTTTCCTCATCTGTTCAGGGTGAAGGTACACTTTCCAGACATGTGACATTTTATTATTGGGTATCATCTTTGACCTTAAGGAGTTTGTAATCTGCTTATACTGGGGGATTCCCAAAGACACCACCAAGTTTGGTAATTCACTAGAAAGTTTCATAGGACTCAGGATATAGTCATACTCACAGCTAAAACTTATCGCATTGAAAGGATATAGAGCAAAATCTGCAAAGGGAAAAGGTGTGTGGGGTGAAGTCTGGAGGAAAGGAGGTACGAGCTTCCAAGAGGCCTCCCCATAGAGCTTGCACGGGATGTGCTTAATTTCTCCAGCGATGAATGTTTTCTGCCAGAGAAACTCATCTGAACCTAGGAATGCAGGGTTTTTATGGGAGCCAGTTACATAGGCACATTGGCCTAGCAAAATCGCAGCCCTCCAGAAGAAAGGCAAGTTTTCAGCATAAACCACATTGTTTGTACAGACAGTTTAGACATAGTACATTACCCTTATCAGATAGGGAATGGTGGAAACACACCCAAAATCCAAGTTTGCAAGCACAAGCCAGGGGCCAACCTTGCAACAGGCCTTTCTAAGGATAGCAGTCTCAGCCTGCTATGGTATCTCTTTTATGCACATTGCTAATAGAGACAAAACAAATCTTTTAAAAAGCTAAGAAATGTGTGTCCACATAAAAACTTGTGTATGAGTATGACTGTTCATAGCAGCATTATTTACAATGGCCAAAGAATGGGAACAACCTAGATGGCCATCGACTGATGAATAGATGAATAAAATGAGATATATTCATGCAATAGAATATTATTCAGCTATAAAAAGAAATGATACACACTACAACATGGGTGAACCTTGAAAATATTATGCTAAGTGTGAGGAAACAGTCACAAAAGGCCATAACTTATATGATTCCATTTATATGAAATGCCCAGAATAGGCAAATCCATGGAGATAGAAGGTAGACTAGTGGTTGACTAGGTCCCCAGAGAATAGGGTATGGGGAGTGACTGCTAATGATATGGGATTTCTTTTCAGGGTGATGAAATATTTTAAAACTTAGATTGTGATGAAGGTTGCACAGTTCTGTGTATATACTAAAAACCACCTATTAAAAAAAAAAGAATGGCCAAGCGCGGTGGCTTACGCCTGTAATTCCAGCACTTTAGGAGGCTTAGGTGGGTGGATCACTTGAGGTCTGGAGTTCGAGACCAGCCTGGCCAACATGTTGAAACCCCATCACTACTAAAAATATAAAAATTAGCCAGGCACAATGGCCGATGCTTGTAATCCCAGCTACTCGGGAGGCTGAGGCAGGAGAATTGCTTGAACCCGGAAGGTGGAGGTTGCAGTGAGACGAGATCACACCCTTGCACTCCAGCCTGGGCAACATGGTGAGACTCCATCACAAAATAAATACATTAATTAATTAATTAATTTAAAAATTGGCCGGGCATGGTGGCTCAAGCCTGTAATCCCAGCACTTTGGGAGGCCGAGGTGGGTGGATCACGAGGTCAGGAGATCGAGACCATCCTGGCTAACACGGTGAAACCCCATCCCATCTCTACTAAAAACACAAAAAATTAGCCAGGCGTGGTGGTGGGCGCCTGTAGTCCCAGCTACTTGGGACGCTGAGGCAGGAGAATGGCATGAACCCAGGAGCCGGAGGTTGCAGTGAGCCGAGATAGCGCCACTGCACTCCAGTCTGGGCGACAAAGCAAGACTCCGTCTCAAAAAAAAAAAAAAAAAAAAAAAAAAAAGAAAAAGATACTTAAAAATAGCTACTTAAACGTCTGCGATGAGACAGGTTAAGTGCCAGTTAGGTGGTACACATAGGCCAAGAAGGAGGCATGCATGACTGTGTGGTAGTTCACAGGCCTTTGGAAGTGCCTGTGGGCTGAGCTCCTCAGGCACTTTGTTTCCAGAGATGCCTGCCATGAAAATGCATGCTTTATTTAACAAATTAGGTTTAAAGCATCATCTAGATATAATCTGTCTTGAAATTTTGTGGGGTTTAAGAAGTGAGTAATATGGTGGGTCTATGGTTTCTGACCCACTGGAACTACCTATAAACCAAAAAAAGGTTAGTGTCTGCCAGCATGCAACATGAATTCTAGACTAAACAGAGGATATTCTTTTATGGTTGTACTAACATATTACTTACCCTCTCTGAATCTGTTTTAATATTAATAAAGTGAGAGGACTGACTATACAGCCATTCACTCATTTAGTGGATCTTTTAAATGCAAGACTACGTATCAGGATTAAATGATCTCTTCCTTAATTTCCCAGACTCCTTGGAACCTAAAATTCTAGATAAGGATATTTTGAGTATTGAGACCTGCAAAAGCAGATTACCTTCAAAACCACAAATTATTCTCTTTTAAACTTCATACAGGTGAGCTGGTCTTGATTAAATATTAAAAATGTGGTTTTTCTTAATAGGGAGAAGTGGAAGCCAAGGTTGAAGAATTAAAATTTGATCGTTACTCTGTATTTAGGCCTGGGTAAGTATAGTATTTATACTGAAGGAGAGTATGCCACTGTAGGTTAATCCCTAGATGCTAATTTTTCATTTGGAAAGGCTGACAACTGAAATATCTAAGATATGAAAGACATTGGCTAGAGGTGTATTGCTTCTCTGAAGGACACACCTTTTTGCTTAGAAAGAAAGGGTAGATGTTGGGTCCCGCTCCAGAAGAGTCCAGAACTTCCTAGACAGCATTTGCTGCCTTCTTAAATCCTCTTCATGCACCAAATAAAACATTAAATCTACTCTATTAGTCTGCTCGGGTTGCCATAACAGGATACCACGCAGGTTGGGTGGCTTAAACAACAGAAATGTATTTTCACACAGTCTGAAGATTGGAAGTCCAAGATCAAGGTGCCGTCAGGGTTGGTGTCTGGTGAGGCCTCTTTTCCTGGCTGGCAGACAGCCTACCTTCTGGCAGTGTCCTCACATGGCCTTTCTTCTTTATGTATGCAGAGAGAGAGACCTCTGATGTCTCTTCCTCTTATGAGGACCCCAGTCCCATCACACTAGTCCTGTTCCATCCTTAAGACTTCATTTAACTTTAATTACTTCCCTTAGTGCCTTATCTTCATAGAGACACATTGGGGGTTAGGGCTTCAACATTAGAATTTTGAGGGGATATAGTTTGGTCCATAATGCCCACTGTGGTCTCAGTGCAATTTACCACCTCTTCTTCTGCTTTTCTTTTTTTTTTTTTTTTATTTTAGAGTTCTGTTATGTGATAGGCAAGAGTCTCGCCCAGGTGAATGGTTGGTTAGAAAGTTCTTTGGCTCCTTACCAAAATCTTGGGCTAGTGGGCAATCTGTGCCCTTGGTGACTGTGGTTAGAGCAATGCTGAACAATGTGGTGAGACCAAGCGACAAGCAGATGGAACTGCTGGAGAACAAGGCCATCCATGACCTAGGGAAAGCACATGACTCTCTCAAGCCATGACCACACAGGAGAAATGGTTGTTATTGTCAGTCTTAACACCCATCACCAAATCAGTAATTTCAGGGTCTAAAAAAAGTCCGCATATTTTAGCTTTATTGTTTTACTATCCTCAGGCATCCATTCCAATCAAGAAATGATGGTGCTCTGAATCAGTGGTTCAGAGCCTGGTTATACATATAGATCCTCAGCGAGCTTTGGAAAAATAAAGATGTTAGCCGTATCTCAAACTTGAATCAAAATTTCTGGGGTGTGGGCAGAATAATCTGTAATTTTCTTTGTTTATACTTCCCCTGATGCCACTGGTTGGGGGGCCTGCTTTGAAATGCCTGTCTGCAGAGTCACAGCAGCCGGGAAAACCTTGTGACCATGCAAATGAGCTCTGCTCTAAAATTGTTGACATTCACATCTCTGACTTACAAAAGTGCTAATTCCCTACGTGTAATTGTGTAAGTAAACATTGTGCCTTTACTACTTTATGTAATAGAAATTATATACCTAAGCTTATATAATACATGGGGAGGATTAAATAAAGGAATAAAGATAAATTGACAACTCCTGGGTGCCTCTTAGATTGCTTGAAAATGCCCATGTAGTAGTGGTAATATGCAGCATTTCAGCCTATGGGGTGATATAATAGCAGCTAATATTTACCAAATGCTTGCTAAGTACCAGTCTTTACATGTATTATCTGTGCTTTAAACCCCTTATAAACCATCCTTATAAAGTGATACTATCATGATCTTCATATCTTAGATGGGGAAATGAGATTACTGTGGTTAAGTGCCTTGCTCAAGAGTCCAAAGCTGAAGAACTGAAGCAAAGAAATGGCAGAGTCAGGATTCTAACCCAGGTCTGCCTGATCCCACAGATTGCATAGATGGTGTTTTTAAGCACCCTGCAAGAGCACTCTGTTCCTGTGTATTTCCAGGTAGTTCCAGTTGATGGTTACTACGTGTTGTGGATGAACAAAATTGAAATATTTGGGTTTCTCCTTTGTTCCAGTGATTAATCACTAAATGTTCACATAGCCAGTAAAATTCTATGCCACCAAACTTTAAAGTGCGCTCATGCTGCTGCACTTTAAAAATTAAGGCAAAGGAAGATGCAGAAGGAAGGGTCAAAGCCAAGAGGCACACACATTGCTGATTTCCATCATGGAACAAAAGATGTTAGTGTAACGTAACATCTGCACCAGGGAAGCAAAGTGATTCGAGTGATTCAGTCAATTTTTCCAAGGCCCACTGTATGCCAAGTACATTTCAAGCTTCAGTATACACTGGAGGATAAAGGCCATTCCCTTTAATTTGTGGTGTATATCCTTAGAAGGGAGTAGACATTCCCAATGTCAGTCACCCAAAAAAGAGGCATATTTTAGGGCAGGGTGGGATCTTGAAATGTGAGCTTTAGAAGGAAATGAAATATCTTCCTCCTGCCAGGTGGGGTTCCCTGGGAGCTGAACTTGGAAGAGCCCAAGTGTGTAGTTTTGGTGGGGAGAAAGCATGAGCTGAGGATATTTTCAGGCCTCTGGGCTCCGAAAGCAGCTAAATCCAGTGACCTATTTTAAGTTATTCTCCTTATATTATTTCCTTACTCAAAAACCTTCGAGCAGGTTTCATTGAACATGTTATTCTGGTCTCAGTAGTGATGTGGGATAATGAGGAAGGGTCTGTGTTCACCTTTGGAGTAGAGAGAAAAGCAGCCCTCTCTGGAGCTCTGCATTGTGGTGAGATAACGAACTAAGGAACAAGACTCTGGCCCAATCGCTCCTCCACAATGGGTGTTAACTTGTTTTATCGACAGCACTGAATGGACTGGGTGTTCCATTTAGTACTAAGGGATTCAGGACGTTTTCCACCAAAGGTGACACAGACAGAAAAAATTTATGTTGGAAGGATGAAGGGAAAAGTTGGATGGGACCAGGTAATCAAAAGTGTTGAATTCATTAATTCATTCAGCAAATGCTTATTCAGTGCCTCCTATGTGCCACTGAACACATAGGCACTGGGGATGCATCCATGAGTAATGACTCCAACTCAAGACAGCCAGCAGCTATTCTGGCAATGTCCTAGATTGTAAGAAAACTTCAAAATTAATATTTGGGCTGGGCGCGGTGGATCACGCCTGTAATTTCAGGACTTTGGGAAGCCAAGGTGGATCACTTGAGGTCGGGAGTTCAAGACCAGCCTAACCAACATGCTGAAACCCTGTCACTACTAAAAATATAAAAATTAGCCAGGCATGGTGA